ATGGGGAGAGGGGAGGAGGAGGAGGATGGGGAGAGGGGAGGAGGAGGATGGGGAGGAGGAGGAGGAGGAGGGGGAGGGAGGAAGTGGAGGTGGTGGAGGAGGATGGGGAGGGGGAGGAGGATGAGGATGAGGGAGGAGGAAGAGGAGGAGGATGGGGAAGGAGGAGGAGGAGGAGGATGGGGAGGGGGGGAGGAAGGAGGATGGGGAGGAGGAGGAGGGGGAGGGAGGAAGTGGAGGTGGTGGAGGAGGATGGGGAGGGGGAGGAGGATGAGGATGAGGGAGGAGGAAGAGGAGGAGGAGGAGGAGGATGGGGAGAGGGGAGGAGGAGGAGGATGGGGAGGGGGGAAGAGATGGAGGAGGAGGAGGAGGAGGAGGATGGGGAAGGAGGAGGAGGAGGAGGATGGGGAGGGGGGAAGAGATGGAGGAGGAGGAGGAGGAGGAGGATGGGGAGGGAGGAGGAGGAGAGGGGAAGGGGGGAGGAGGGGGCTTCTCAGAGACAAGAGAGAGGAGGACTGACTCCTTTCTGCCTCCGATTCTCCAACAGGACCCAGCCTGCTCTTCATCACCTACGCCGAGGCCATCGCCAACATGCCGGCCTCAACTTTCTTTGCCATCATTTTCTTCCTGATGTTGATCACCCTCGGCCTGGACAGCACGGTGAGCGGGGGGGGGGGTCCCTTTGCCAGGAGAGGATCGGGCAGGGCGGACAGAACTGGAAGGCGCTGCCACCTCCCTAACTCACAGGAGGAGAAGTGGGTGGGTGGGTGTTTGGGGGGGGGGAGCGGGGACCACACAGCGAGCCTTGCAGGATCCCGCCACTCCGGTGCACCTTGAATATTTATAAAAAAAAGTAGCTCCAGCCTTTTTGCACCGTGGACGGCTTGGATGCAGCCGCCGCCCAGCGGGGTCAAAGCGGGCGAGGGTCTCAGTGCCCTGGGGTCCTCTTTTCTGCAAAGGCTTCTTATTCAAGAGGTCGCAAAGTTGGTTTGCAAACTCGGATTGCAACCGGGAAGGATGAGATGGGATCTCGGAAGAGTGATCGCAGAACGAGAGGGGGGGGGTCTACCCAGGCAGGGGGTTAAGGCTGCCACTCAGGTGGGTGAGGAGACCAGTGTCTTTCTCCAGGTGAAGGCACTAATTTTTAAGAAGGATTCTAGCAAATCCTGGTTGTTTCTCACTCCAGAGCAGTGGTTCTCAACCTTTTTAATGCCGCGACCCCCAACCGGTCGTAAGTCGAGGACGACTCAACCGGTCGTAAGTCGAGGACTACTCAACCGGTCGTAAGTCGAGGACTACTCCACTGGTGCAGCACCGTTTGCAGAATGGGACTTTTGGCGGGCTCAGCAGGGCAGAGACAGCCTGGACAATTCCTATTGGCTTTTGAAAGCCAATAGAATTAGACTCTATGCAAGAGAGTCTATTCTATTGGCTTTCAAAAGCCAATAGAATAAAAGGGAGGAGCACAGCTACGGAAAAGGGGGGGAAAAATGGCGGACTGTGTTGTTTGGTGACCCCCGTGAAATGGTCGTTCGACCCCAAATGGGGTCCCGACCCCACAGGTTGAGAACCACTGCTCCAGAGAGATGGGATAATGCACTGTTTCTCAATGCTGGCAACGTTCAGCTGGGTGGACTTCGATTCCCAGAATTCTCCAGCCAGCATGTCCGCCCAGCTGAACGTTGCCAACATTGAGAAACGCTCCAATAAATGGATTTAAGCCGTGCCAGGAGAGATTTTGAGTGAAGGCGAGAGACTGGGAAAGTCTCCTTCCCAGATGGGCTCAGGCATTCGATCTCGGGCGCAACGTTGACCTTTCCACCTCTCCGCCGAGCAGGGGTTGGGATAGATGACCTCAAAGGACCCCCTCCAATCTTAGCCATTTGAATTCCGGGAGAGGCACAGCCAGGCTTCTTTCCCCCCCCCCCCGAGACTTTGCAGGCCTTCTGAACATAGAATATAACAGGGTTGGAAGAGGCCTCCGAGGTCATCTAGTCCACCCCGCCCCCCTCGCTCAAGTAGGAGAATCCCCGTAACATTCCAGACAAATGGCTGTCGGGTCTCTTCTTGATGGTCAGGAGCTAACCCTGCCATTGGTCCTTATCCTTTCTTTCTTTGACCTCTCCTTGTGTTTCCCCCCACCCCCCGACACCCCAGTTTGCAGGCCTGGAGGGGGTCATTACCGCCGTGCTGGATGAATTTCCCCACGTCTGGGGCAAACGACGGGAACTGTTCGTGTTGCTCTTCATTGTGACCTGTTTCATGGGCTCTTTGTCCACGTTGACTTTTGTAAGTAGCTGATCCGGCCGCTGGAGGGGACGGAGGGGAGGGGAAGAGCCGGTTTGCAGCCCCTCGTGAAAGGGAGGGAGGGGTCTGCTGCAGGCCGACCGTTGGGATATATCGCAAGCCGGCATTGAGTGGGGTCCCCCACATCACTCTGAATCATAGACCATGGTTGAGAAAGGATGGGACGCAGCCAGGAGCTTGGGAGAGTCCCAGAGTTGCTTGGAAGATGGGCAGCTATATAAATAACAACAATAACAACAATAATAACAGAACTAAGAACTAAGGAGAAACTTCCTGACAGTTACAGCAATTAACCAGTGGAACCACCTGCCTCCAGAAGCGGTGAATGCTCCAACACTGGAAGTTTTTAAGAAGAGACTGGACAGCCATTTGGTCTGAAATGGTATAGGGTTTCCTGCCTGAGCAGGGGGTTGGACTGGATGACCTCCAAGGTCCCTTCCAACATTATTATTATTATTATTATTATTATTATGGATCATCGCACAGTCAGCCAGATGTTCAGACTGGATTTGGCATTTTGTCTACCTATCGAGTCCTTACCCAGGACCTGGGATATTATTATTATTATTATTATTATTATTATTATTATTATTATTATTATTATTATTATTGTTGTTGTTGTTGTTATCAAACTTGGGACTTACTTTACTGATGGTTAGAGGAAAGAATAAAGGATTAGGAATGTAATATGTATTAGCGTATTTTAAACTCAGACAGCACGTTGGTTGAAAAATCATTATTACATGTATGGAAAAAAATAATCTTACAAAAAATACTAATAACAATAACGAGAACGACAGTGACAATGAATGATAATGATGATAGAGCTGGAAGGGACCTTGGAGGTCTTCTAGTCCAACCCCCTGCTCAGGCAGGAGACCCCCTATGCCATTTCAGAATAACAGAGTAATAGAGTTGGAAGGGACCTTGGAGGTCATCTAGTCCAACCCCCTGCTCAGGCAGGAGACCCCCTATGCCATTTCAGAATAACAGAGTAATAGAGTTGGAAGGGACCTTGGAGGTCATCTAGTCCAACCCCCTGCTCAGGCAGGAAACCCTGTACCAATTCAGACAAAGTGCTGTCCAGTCTCTTCTTTAAAACTTCCAGTGTTGGAGCATTCACAACTTCTGGAGGCAGGTTGTTCCGCTGGCTAATTGTTCTAAATGTGTTTTTTTTAAAAAATTAAAATGAAAAGTAATAAAATATCAGTTGCAAAAGGCAGCTTTACTCAGGACAGCGGGAGATCCTGCGAGGATACCTCAAATACGACAAACATCTACATCTGCCTCTCCCGGGTCTTCGGGAAGGACTCAGTAAGTGGACAAAAACGCCAGATCCGGTCTGAGATATCTGACTGTGTGACAAACCAAAGCTAAACGACCAAATAATAATAATGAAATAAAAACAATAATTGAAATAAATAAAATAAAATAAGAAATGAAATAAATATATAAAATACAAAATGAAATAAATATACACAATATAAAATGAAATAAATATATACAATATATATTGAAATAAATATATACAATATAAAATGAAATAAATATATACAATATTAAAGGAAATAAATATATACAATATAAAATGAATAATAAAATAAAAAGGTGGACGGCCATACTAGCCTGAACACGCCCGATCTTGTCTGATTTCGGAAGCTAAGCAGGGTCAGGTCTGGTTAGTATTTGGATGGGAGACTGCCTGGGAATACTGAGTGCTGTAGGCTAAAAAAATAAATAAAATAAAAAAGTTAAAATAAAATAAAAATGAGGAGGGGGATCCCCAGGTGTGAAGGAGAAGGGATGTAATCCAGAGGAACAAGAGGCAACTCAACCCGGATTATCACGTGTGAGAAGACAGCTCCTTCCCTAATGGTTCCCAGAATGCATCGGAGAGGCAGATAAATACAGTCCGGCAAGATTCTGTCTAGAGCAGTGGTTCTCAACCTTTTTAATGCCGCGACCCCCAACCGGTCGTAAGTCGAGGACTACTCAACCGGTCGTAAGTCGAGGACTACTCCACTGGTGCAGCACCGTTTGCAGACTGGGACTTTTGGCGGGCTCAGCAGGGCAGAGACAGCCTGGACAATTCCTATTGGCTTTGGAAAGCCAATAGAATCAGACTCTATTCAAGAGAGTCTATTCTATTGGCTTTCAAAAGCCAATAGAATAAAAGGGAGGAGCACGGCTAAGGAAAAGGGGGGAAAAAATGGCGGACTGTGTTGTTTGGCGACCCCCGTGAAATGGTCGTTCGACCCCACATGGGGTCCCGACCCACAGGTTGAGAACCACTGCGCTAGAGGTGTGAAGCGATAAAGCGCTCAGCTTGGAAGGATCGCCGTGTGGTCATTCCTGGTTTGGGGTCTGACACACGGGAGCGAGGAATTCTGGGAGTTGAAGTCCACACATGATGTGATGGAATGTAGTAGCCCTTGGATAGTCATCAAGGCAGAGACAGGAACTAGAGATGGTGGGATAGAAACCATGGGCTAAATCAGGGGTCTCAAACTCATTGCGGTTGCCCTCGGGGGGAGGGGGTGTGTGGCCAGGGTGGGTGCGGTCTATTGGGTGGGTGTGGATGGAGTGGGTGTGGCCTAATGGGTGGGCGTGGCCAGTTCTACATCATTCGCGTCAAGGGTGCCTGTGGGGGCCTGGGCAGGAGTGGGGCAGATCTGAGGGTCTCTGGCAGAAGGGGGGGGGACCAGGCAGAGCCCACCAAGCCGGATAGGTGAAGTAGAGGAGGGCCATTTGCTGGCCACTTCCAGGCGATGGTGCATTTCTTCATTCCTCACAAAGGGGGACCCTTCCCCAGCATGCACCCAGGGGACGAGGCCGACGCGGCAGGGGCTGGTTCCTCGCTGTGTCCAGACGACCTTGTGGAGCTAAGACTGAATGCGTTTCAGCATAGATGGCCACCACAAAATTGTACATGGGCTCCCGGCCAGCCTGGGCCAGGGCCAAGGCAGCAGGGGCCGTTCCCTCACTGTTTCCAGGATGGCTTCGCGGGCCACATGAAACCACTTCGCGGGCCGCATCCGGCTCCCGGCCCTTGTGTTTGACATATCTGGGCTAAATAAATAATGTTTACTATTTATTATTATTTGCTGTGACACTGATCGCGTTGCCTAGTTGGGTAATGAAATGTCTGTAAGAAAAAAAAAAAAACAAGCTCAGAGAACTCCTTGCCCTATCCTCCTTCTAGCGCTGATATTGTTCCCTAGTTGGATCATGAAAGGTCTGCAAGAAAAAACCACCCAGCTCAGAGAGCACCAAGGACCCCTCCCTCCAATAAATAATAATAAACATTAAAGCACTCCAGGTAGCCTCAACTGCGGGGTGGGTGGCAAATAAATGGGATAGCTAGATCAATAAATCGAAGGCGCGTTTCCGGTCTATTTCTCTTCGTGCAGGTGGGGTGTTTCTTTTGGAGTTTGAAGGAGCTGCACCCGCCAGTCTGGTTTGGGGGGGGGGGCTTTCCTTCTCTCAATGCTTCTTCCTTCCTTCCAACCAGGGAGGGGCCTACGTGGTGAAACTCTTTGAAGAATACGCCACGGGGCCGGCTGTGATAGCCGTGGTGTTTCTGGAATCCATCGCCGTGGCTTGGTTCTACGGTGAGTTCCCATATGCCTGTCGTTGTGGGGAGGGGGGGGGAAGACGGTTTAGAAAGGAGGACTTCTTCCTTGGGGTGGCAAGGCTCTGGTGGCGCCCCCCCATCTCTCCCCCCCCCCAGAAGAAGAAGATGCCAAGGCAATCCCAAAGGTGCCTTTTTTTCTCCAAGAGGCTGCTGGATTTTCTTATTTGGCTTTGAAGACGTTTCGCTTTTCGGACGCAGCAGCCGTCACAAAAGCGAACACAATCCTGGGTTTATTTGTTTATTTATGAGACTTATATACCGCTTTAAGTGCAAGCACTCTCTAAGCGGTGTACACCAGTAAGCAATGTATATATATATATTTACATTGCCCCCAACAATCTGGGTCCTCATTTTACCTACACCGGAAGGATGGAAGGCTGAGTCAACCTTGAGCCGGTGAGATTTGAACCGCTGACCTGCTGAACACAAGTCAGCTAAAGTGGCCTGCAGTGCTGCACCCTAACTGCCGCGCCACCTCTAACTGCTGTGCCTGTTGTATAAACAGAGGCATAGAATCAAGATCACGCAAAGTATTAGTACCGCTTTAGAAAGCCTTAGTAAGGCCACCACGCCTGGAATACGGCAGCCAATTTTGGTCACCGTTATCACAAAAAAGATGCTGAGCGTTTGGAAAAAGTTCAGAGAAGAGCAACTAAGAGGATTCAAGGCCTGGAGACTGAAACATACGAAGAATGGCAGCGGGACTTGGGTCTGGCTAGTCTAAAGAAAAGAAGAATTAGGGGAGACAGGATAGCAGTGTTCCAGTATTTGGGGGGGCTGCCCCAAAGAAGAGGGAGTCAAGCTGTTCTCCAAAGCGCCTGAAGGCAGGACAAGAAGTAACGGATGGAAACTGATCGAGGAGAGAAGCAACCTAGAACTAAGGAGAAACTTCCTGACAGGGAGAACAATTAACCAGTGGAACAGCCTGCCTCCAGACGTTGTGGGTACTCCATCATTGGAGATTTTTAAGAAGAGGATACACAGTCACTTGTCTGAGATGGTGTAGGTTCTCCTGCTTGAGCAGGAGGCTGGACTAGAAGACCTCCAAGGTCCCTTCCAGCTCTATTCTATTCTATTCATCCCAGATGCTTCTTCAGCTCTGACTGGATAGTGGGGGACGGGAGGATTTATACTCCTTGCAGACTGTTAGTCATTTGCCTTCTTTTGGAGAGTCGTTGAGGCCACTTGGAGGGTGACCTGTGTCCTCAGGGTCAACTGAGCAGTGCAAATGGGTGTGGAAGTTTCAGAGTTCCAAGAAGGCTCCACACTCATTTGCACCACTCAGGTGACCCTGAGGACACAGGTGGCCTCAATGACTCTCTAGAAGAAGGATGCAAATGACCAGCTGTCTGCAAGGAGTATAAATCCTTCCATCAGAGCTGAAGAAGCTTCTAGGATGAGAAGCGAAACGTCTTCAAAGGAAAAAAACCAGACAGTCCAGTGGTCTCCTGAAAAAGCATCTTTGGGATAACGATGACCTGGAGGACCTCCAAAGACGTTGAGCCAAGGCAGTCTAGATGTGGTGGACTTCCATAAGGACAAGGGATTCACGAGATCGCTCCGTTTGGAAGCCCGCTTCTTCTCATCCCTTTTATGACTTTCTCGCAGGCGTCAAGGTTGAGTTTTACCCCCTCCGCTTCATTGCAACTGCCCCCCACTCCCCCAGATTTCAGGTTTGCAGAGGGCTGTGAAGTTCCTTTGCTCCTCACGGCTTGAGCTGGCATGACCCATCTTTTGCATGCTTCTCAGCCACTGGGCCCCAAGTGCCTTCCTTGTGTCCCTCCACAGGGGTCACCCAATTTTGCAGCGATGTGAAGGAGATGCTTGGCTTCTTCCCCGGCTGGTTCTGGAGGGTCTGCTGGGTGATCATCAGCCCTGCTTTCATCCTGGTGAGTAGGACCACCAAGCTCAGAGAGCACCAAGGATCCTCTTCCCCCTCCCCCTCCCCTCCCCCTCCTCCTGCTGTTCCCATCTTGCATTAATGTTACCTAGTTGGGTCATGAAACATCTGCAAGAAAACCATCCAGATCAGAGAGCTACCAAGGATCCCACGGTCGTCGTCCTCCTCCTCCTCCTCCTCCTCCTCCTCCTCCTCCTCCTCCTCCTCCTCCTCCTCCTCCTCCTCCTCCTCCTCTCCACACATACACACATCCTTCTAGCACTGATGGTGTTCTCTGCTTGGGTAATGAAATGTCTGCAAGAAAACCACCAAGGTCAGAGAGCACCAAGGACCCCACAATTCTCCTCCACCTCCTCCTCTTCCTCCTCCCCCCCTCCCTTCTAGCACTGATGATGTTCCCTAGCTGGGTCATGAAATGTCTGCAAGGAAACCACCCAGGTCAGAGAATATGAAGGACCACCACAGTCCTCCTCCTCCTTCTCCTCCTCCTCTTTCTTCTCCTTCTCATCCTCCTCCTCTCTGCAAACCCTCCTCCCTTCTAGCGCTGATGGTGTTCTCTGCTTGGGTCATGAAACGTCTGCAAGAAAACCACCAAGATAAGAGAGCACGAAGGACCCCACAATTCTCCTCCTCCTCCTCCTCCTCCTCCTCCTCCCCCCCCTTTTCCTCCTCCTCCTCACAATCCACCCCCTTCTAGCACTGATGGTGTTCCCTAGCTGCGTCATGAAACGTCTGCAAGAAAACCACCAAGATCAGAGAATATGAAGGACCACCACAGTCCTCCTCCTCCTCTTCCTCTTTCTTCTGCTCCTTCTCATCTTCCTCCTCCTCTTCGCAAACCCTCCTCCCTTCTAGCACTGATGTCGTTACCTACTTAGGTCATGAAACGTCTCCCATAAAACAACTCAGCTCAGAGAGTGCCCAGGACCCCACACTTCAACTGAGCTCCAAATAGACCCTTCCATGTAAATCAAGACAGTCTCCATCAAAGTGGGATGGAAGCTCTACCTGTTTTTATCTGGAATGCCTCCCACCAGCTGGAGCATACCGTCCTGTTTTGACCCTATCCTGCAGACATACACACACCCCTCCCTACACACACACACTTCTGCTCTCTCTCTCTCTCTCTCTCTTTCCAGCCGTATATATTATCCTTCAATTTTACATCCTTCAGGCTGGTGGGACAGAGCTGTTTCTAGCTCTGTTCCACAAAGGCTCAACTCCCGGTTCCAAAATTAGCTCCATCTGCTTTTTTAAGTGCCGTCAACACTACGCACGGGACAGCTGAGGTGTAAGCATTTGGACCAGCCAACGTTTTCTAGGTCTGCCTGACCGGGCAAAAACAACCTTTGCTAGCATGATGGATGTCTGTTTAGCAAAGCCGAACTTTATTGCTAAGAATAAAACTGGTATACAATCACGTGGGATCACGTCAGCCCTCAGTCTAGTAACACAGAGACTCCCCCCCTTCTTGTTCATCCCTCCGCGTGCTTTTTTTTATGATCCTGGGGAAAAAATGAAATTAAAAAGCAATAATCCGGCAAACCGGTGGGTTGTTGAGGACAGTTCAAATAGGAACACGAGAAGGTGTTGGTTTTTTTTTTTTCATGGGTTGCCATGGATGTCGCAAACTAATTTTTAATTTCTGGAGAGTTGAGGTTAGGTCAGCACACTCTACGGTCGCTCCTGCTGTTCCATTGTTTGCTTTTCTCTCTTTTTTTTTACTGGCAAAGTGAGAAGCAAATAGTGAAAGATGAGAAGGAGGCGAAAGATAATTATTTATCCCTCCAATTTACGAGGATACTTTCGGCATTGTAAATACCCAACGCTTTGCAAGCCAGTGCTTTTACAGGCGAACAACAACACGGGCTGAAAGTCCACAGCCTTACCTGCTGGCTGAACAGAATTTAAAAAGAGAGATGCTTTCTCAAAACGAAGGGGGTGTGCAAGGAGAGGGAGGATAATTCGGGGGCATTTGCACAATCACACTAGCCGTCCACCGCTGGGTGGAGTTTGGGGGTGAGGATGGGGGAGGCTGAAGATCAGGCAAGTCCTTCAGGATTCTGGGAAGACAAAAGTTGGGATGGATCTACCGAAAATGGCGTCAGGAAGGTGGGATCAAGCAGGCCTGCCTAAACATACCAAGGTGTTGCTTGGAAAAAGTCCCTTCTCTGGTCTTCTTCTGGACCTGATGCCTCCTGGCTGAGATCCCATCGTCCAAATGAAGGCTGAGCTGGTGCCCCTCATGCGCCCCTCGGTCTCTGCCCCATTGGTTAGGTCTTAGAAGTCCACAGTGGGTCTGGAGCTTCAGTCTTTGGGTTCTTCCCCTCTGACTAGGTCTGAGAGGCCCAGACTACCACTGATGGTGGGTCTGGAGCTTCAGTCTTCGGGTTCTTTCCCTGACTAGGTCTGAGAGGTCCACATTGACCACTGGTGGTGAGTCTGGAGCTTCAGTCTTTGGGTTCTTTCCCCGACTAGGTCTGAGAGGCCCAAACTGACCACTGGTGGTGGGTCTGGAGCTTCAGTCTTTGGGTTTTTTCCCCCTAACTAGGTCTGAGAGGCCCAGATTGATCACTGATGGTGGGTCTGGAGCTTCAGTCTTTGAGTTCTTCCCCTCTGACTAGGTCTGGGAGGCCCAGACTGACCACTGGTGGTAGATTTGGAGCTTCAGCCTTTGGGTTCTGCCCCCGATTAGGTCTGAGAGGCCCAGACAGACCATTGATGGTGGGTCTGGAGCTTCAGTCTTGGGGTTCTTCCCCTGACTAGGTCTGAGAGGTCCACATTGACCACTGGTGGTGAGTCTGGAGCTTCAGTCTTTGGGTTCTTTCCCCGACTAGGTCTGAGAGGCCCAAACTGACCACTGGTGGTGGGTCTGGAGCTTCAGTCTTCGGGTTCTTCCCCCGACTAGGTCTGAGAGGCTCAAACTGACCACTGATGGTAGGTCTGGAGCTTCAGTCTTCGGGTTCTTCCCCCGACTAGGTCTGAGAGGCCCAAACTGACCACTGGTGGTAGGTCTGGAGCTTCAGTCTTCTGCCTCTGCCCCACCAGCTAAGACCTTGGGGGTCTTCTCCAGTTTATCCTCTGCAGCTTCATTGCCAGCCCTCCAGACCTCCGCCTCTTTGACTACAGCTACCCGTACTGGACCATGGTGCTGGGCTATTGCATTGGGACTTCCTCCTTCATCTGCATCCCTGCCTACATGGTTTATCGCTTGGCGAGGACTCCAGGGACCCTTAAAGAGGTAGGCCGGGCCTCGGGGGGAGGCAGGTGAAGGAATTGCAAGAGGAAGGCAAAGGATGAGCTTGTCCACCAATAGAGGAAGCTCTCTGGGATGGATTATTTCACGACCTTGGCAACTGGAAGATGGGTAGACTTCCACTCCCAGAATTCCCCATCCAGCCTGCTCTAAGAGGGGTGGGCTTCCACTCCCAGAATCCTCCAGCTAGCATGCTTTAAGAGGAGTGGGCTTCCACTCCCAGAATCCCCCAGCCTGCATGCTGTAAGAGGGATGGACTTCCACTCCCAGAATCACCCAGCCTGCCTGCTGTAAGAGGGGTGGGCTTCCACTCCCAGAATTCCCCATCCAGCCTGCTTTAAGAGGGGTGGGCTTCCACTCCCAGAATTCCCCATCCAGCCTGCTTTAAGAGGGGTGGGCTTCCACTCCCAGAATTCCCCAGCCTGCATGCTGTAAGAGGGGTGGGCTTTCACTCCCAGAATTCTCCAGCCAGCATGCTTTAAAAGGGGTGGGCTTCCACTTCCAGAATTCCCCAGCCAGCCTGCTTTAAGAGGGGTGGGCTTCCACTCCCAGAATCCCCCAGCCTGCATGCTGTAAGAGGGGTGGGCTTTCACTCCCAGAATTCCCCAATCAGCCTGCTTTAAGAGGGGTGGGCTTCCACTCCCAGAATTCTCCAGCCAGCATGCTTTAAGAGGGGTGGGCTTCCACTCCCAAAATTCCCCAACCAGCCTGCTTTAAAAGGGATGGGCTTCCACTCCCAGAATCCCCCAGCCAGCATGCTTTAAGAGGGGTGGGCTTCCACTCCCAGAATTCCCCAACCAGCCTGCTTTAAGAGGGATGGACTTCCACTCCCAGAATTCTCCAGCCAGCATGCTTTAAGAGGGGTGGGCTTCCACTTCCAGAATTCCCCAACCAGCCTGCTTTAAAAGGAATGGGCTTCCCCTCCCAGAATCCCCCAGCCAGCATGCTTTAAGAGGGGTGGGCTTTCACTCCCAGAATCCTCCAGCTAGCATCCTTTAAGAGGGGTGGGCTTCCACTCCCAGAATCCTCCAGCCAACCTGCTTCAAGAGGGGTGGGCTTCCACTCCCAGAATCCCCCAGTATCTGAACCCCCACCCCCACCCTGTGCCCCAGTTCGTTGGGGAGAAGGTTGGGGTACCTTCTCTCCACCTCTGGGGGGGGGTCCCTCTGGGGCCAGCCATTGTGTGGGCTGCCTCTCACTGTGGTTGTGTTGTCTCCTCCTCCACAGCGTCTCCTTAAGAGCATCACGCCCGAAACATCCACGGAGGTTCCCTTCGATGGGATCCACATGAACACCGTGTAGGTCGCCCCATTTTGGGGGGGGCTGGGCAGAAGGGAGAGGCAAGGAAAAGGGCCCCATCTTGCCTCCCATCTGCCTTCAGCTCTGTGCCAAAGACCTGAATGTCCGCCGGGGAATGTTCTCGGCACGGAAGGAAGATCTCGGACGCGAGTCCGTACAACCACCCGGCCAGGGACCCCGGGATCTTCTGAACGCCCGTGACTTTCTTTGGAACACTTGAGGGCAAGTGAATACTCCCTCCCACCCACCCCCAGTTCCCTGGACCCGGAGTCGTCTGAATGCCTACGCATGGTTTCCCTCAGCTTTCGTCGGGCCTCTGTGCAAGTGAAGATTGTCTTAGAGGCACCTCTGTGTGCAAACGCCGTCCGTTGTGACCCCCCCACCTCCCGTACTAGACCTCTGTTGTGTCGTTGCAAAGAATCTCAGTTATTTTTTTCACCAAGGTGGGAGGAAAAAAACCCCGAAAACAAAAGCAGGGACGGTTCGCCCAGGTTTGCTAATCGTGATCGTAGCTTAATCCAGCGCAAACCCTACGGGAGAGAGGTTAGGGCAGGTTGGGTTTAAAAGTGGCACCTGCCACAAACTGCTGGAAGATAAGAAGGAGAAAAAGAGGGGGGAGTTTAAAAAAAACACCCCTTCCCCACAGCTGGAGAACTAGCAATGCAAGGAGTTCGAAAGAGACTAGTCCTCCTTGACAAAAACACATCTGGGTGCATGCATGCTTTGGTGCGGTTTTGCAAATCGGAAACCGGCACAGTTCTTGCAGTGCTGGTTTAGGGGATCCTCCTTAACCTGGATTTTAGGCTGAAGAGTTGGCTCCGATTGGGTTGCCCGTTCACGCACCTCCCACTCCACCCCCATCTGAGGAGGAGGTCAGGAGCTAGGAAGTGGTGAATGGATGTAGCCAGATGTTCTTTGCCCACCCGGATAGAATTCCCTCTTGTCCACAAAATGCAGACTCCAGGTGGAGCCACGAAATGACATAAGGCTGTGTTGGGGTCCTTGGTGCTCTCTGAGCTTGGTGGTTTTTCTTGCAGACGTTTCGTTACCATGCTAGGTAATATAATCAGGGCTAGAAGGATGTGGGGGTCGGCTCTCTGTAAGCACTGTAAAGTGAACACTGATGATGTCACCTAGTTGGGTCATGAAATGCCTGCAAGAAAACACGCGCCGAGAGCACCAAGGAACCCACAGGTCGTCTCCTCCTCCTCCTCCTCCCTTCTAACACTGATGATGTTCCCTACTTGGGTCATGAAATGTCTGCAAGAAAACCATCCAGCTCAGAGAGCATCCAGGACCCCACAGTAGTCTTCCTCGTCCTCCTCTTTACAAATCCACTCCCTTGTAGCACTGACAATGTCACCCAGTTGGGTCGTGAAACATTTACAAGAAAACCACCAGGCTCAGAGAACACCAAGGACTCCTCCTCCTCCTCCTCTTCTTCTCCTCCTCCTTCTCCTCTTCTTCTTCTTCTTCTCCTCCTCCTCCTTCTCCTCTTCTTCTTCTTCTTCTCCTCCTCCTCCTTCTCTTCTTCTTCTCCTCCTCCTCCCTTCTTCTTCTTTTCTTCTTCTCCTCCTCCTCCTCCTTCTCCTCTTCTTCTCCTCCTCCTCCCTTCTTCTTCTCCTCCTCCCTTCTTTTCTTCTTCTTCTTCTCCTCCTCCTCCTTCTCTTCTTCTCCTCCTCCCTTCTTCTTCTCCTCCTCCCTTCTTCTTTTCTTCTTCTCCTTCTCCTCCTCCCTTCTTCTTCTTCTTCTTCTTCTTCTTCTTCTTCTTCTTCTTCTTCTTCTTCTTCTTCTTCTTCTTCTTCTTCTTCTTCCTCCTCCTCCTCCTCCTCTTCCTCTTCTTCTTTTCTCCTTCTCCTCCTCCTCCACAAACTCCACTCCCTTCTACCACTGATACTGTTCCCTAGCTGGGTCATGAAACGTCTGCAAGAAAACCACCCAGCTCAGTGGGCATCCCACAGTCTAAAGTTAAACCCTGAACTACAGTCTCTACTAATGATATACTACTTGGATGATTGAGACTCAAGTCACGCCTCTTCTTGCTAAAGGCTACTTTCCCTGTGGTGAAGTTGCAGTAGAGGGAAGGACACGCGTGCCTCTCCTCTCCCCCCCCCCCAGTGTGTGAGTGTGTGTGAGTTGTCCACTAGGACATTTCACAATCCCTCTGAATCCCACGAGGCGCCGCCACGCATGGGATCCCCTTTGCAGAAAGTTGGCGGTCGAGTTCTCCCTCGATCAAACAGACATTATTTTTTATGAGGGTGAAAACTATAAACCTGGTGGAAACACAGGTTTCGCGTGCGTATACGGTAATTCTCCAAAACAACGTGGGCTGGACGAAAACCGTCGAACGCACACACAAAAGGGGAGCCCAGTTTACATGGCTGTTGCACAGGCAGACCCTGTTGAATCCTCCACGGTGTCAAAAGAAAATCCGTCTTAAAATCCATTTGTTGACCCAGAAGCAGAATTTGCTTCTTCTGGGTTAACAGGATCACTGCAGAAAAGAGTTGGGCCAGGTTTGCCCAATCTTGACCCGCTTTAAGACTGGCGTACTTCAACTCCCAGAATTCCCCAGCCAGCCAGCCAGCCATGGTTGGACAAACCTGGTTTAAGCCTTTCTCAAAGCCGAAGCAACTCATTCCAGGCAAATCTGGAACGTGTGCGTTGATCATTTTTGTACAGAGAAACAAATAAATACATGAAAAACTGGAGTTTTCTTTTACAGAACTAGGCGCTCGATGGGTGCAATCGGCCACCTCTGTTATCTTTTCGTTGCTGCTTTTCTGGAATGTGCCGAGTGGCGTGTACGTTTGTTTGTGTCTATCAACAGTCATGTGTTGTAATAAAAGTTGGTGTGACAATAAAAAGTGGAAGTTGTACTCTTGACTTTCTGGTGACCAAAGGACTAAAATGTAAAGTCCCAGGGGAAGGACGGGTTGACCGAAACTGGATAGCTGGTTGCTTAATATGGTTTAATCATTGTAGATACTAACAACCGACATAGGTACATGTCAGTTTCCAAGTGTCTGCACACTCATTTGAAGCGGTGAACGCTCCAACACTGGAAGTTTTTAAGAAGAAACTGGACAGCCATTTGTCTGAAATGGTGTAGGGTTTCCTGCCTGAGTGGGGGGTTGGACTAGATGACCTCCAAGGCCCCTTCCAACTTTATTATTCTATTCTAAATACAGTGGTACTCTAGTCTATTTCAAATTCTATTATATTATTCTCTTCTCTTCCGTATGTTCTCTTCTATTATTTTTATTTTTATTATTATTATCAATCATCGCACAGTCAGCCAGATGTTCAGACTGGATTTGGCATTTTGTCTACCTATCGAGTCCTTACCCAGGACCTGGGATAGGCAGATGTGGATGTTTGATGGTATTATAGATATCGTCGCAGGATGGAAGCAGTTCCTAGTAAGGCTGCCTTTTGCAATTGACTAATAGCGAATTTGTCAATGCCGATGATGGTGTTCAAGTGGTGCTCCAGTTGTTTTGGGATTGCACCCAAGGAGCCTATGACTACTGGTACTACCCTTGCTTGCTTTTGCCACAGTCTTTCTATTTGTAGGTCTTTTTATTTTGTTATCTTCTCCAGCTCTTTCTCGTCTATTCTGCTATCTCCAGGCACTGCCACGTCCACTATCCAGACTTTTTATTATTATTATTATTATTATTAATATTATTATTATTATTATTATTAAGCACTGTCCCGCTCAGCGACAGAAATTTTGGGCTCAGTCGTGGTTGTAAATTGAGGACTGCCTGCCGTTTCTGCTGATTTTGATCTGATTTTTTGTTTGTTTGTTTGTTTAAACCACGGAATTAAAGCTTTTATAGGTAAAGTTTCCCAAATTCTCTCCGATTTCAGCAGCTGTAGAACAGCCGTCCTTTCCCACTTTGTAAAAAGGAACAAGTAGAACCTTCCGGAAAACCCTCGTGGTATCCGAGACTTTTTTAGAAGATCTGTGAGGAGAACTTTCCACCAAATTCAACGGCATGGAAAGAAATCCGCTCAAAAATCTCTTTTTAAGATCACCCACATCTATTTTGGGATACTTTGCACACACACAAAAAAGGTCCCCGCTGTCTCCACGGCGACCATAAAACACAAGCTTTCCAGGACACAGGATGTAAACACCAGATACTGGTGTTTAATTTCTCTCAGAAATTAAACTTCCTTCAGGAAGATAAATGCAAAAAGTCTACGCCGAGGAGCTGTTAAAACAGTGGTTCTCAACCTTTTTAATGCCGCGACCCCCAACCGGTCGTAAGTCGAGGACTACTCAACCGGTCGTAAGTCGAGGACTACTCAACGGGTGCAGCACCGTTTGCAGAATGGGACTTTGGGCGGGCTCAGCAGGGCAGAGACAGCCTGGACAATTCCTATTGGCTTTTGAAAGCCAATAGAATTAGACTCTATTCAAGAGGGTCTATTCTATTGGCTTTCAAAAGCCAATAGAATAAAAGGGAGTAGCACAGCTAAGGAAAAGGGGGGGAAAAATGGCGGACTGCATTGTTTGGCGACCCCCGTGAAATGGTCGTTCGACCCCAAATGGGGTCGCGACCCACAGGTCGAGAACCACTGTGTTAAAAACATTGGACAAGTTGCGGATCGAGGAACAGGAGGGTTTTAATGGCAGGTTTTCCGTGAATGCATTTCCAACGCGTGGACTTCAACTCCCAGAATTCCCCAGCCAGCCATGCTGGCTGGGGAATTCTGGGAGCTGAAGTCCAAGACGTCTTAAAGAGGCCGAGGACGCGGATTCCTGGTTTAGTGGAACGGACCAATCTTGAACAAAACCCCAACTTGGGAATTTTCTTTGGAGAAATGCGCATTTTGGAAAAGGAGCAGGGTTGTTTGCGGCCCTTTTGAGAAAAGGTGGTGGGAAAGTGGAGCTTGGCTGGGAGTGCGTTATCCAAACATGGACACTGCCAGGTTCCTCCTGATAAGACAAGAGATAGGAGGACCGTTTTATGGCAGACTTTATAAAGTCTTGGCGCTGGATCTGGCCCAGGAAGCTGATACACAGCAGGAAATTCCGTATTTTACGGCCTGCATTTTTTGATTGGGCTGGGAGTTGATGTTGACGATTCATACTGATTAACAGAAGAGAGTTATGTGGAGTTCAGGGTTGAACTGGGTGCTGAGTGGGGTGGTTTTCTTACAGATGTCGCATTACCCAACTAGGGAATATTGTCAGTCCTAGGAGGGAATAAGGTTTGGAGGAGGAGAGGAGGAGGTGGAGGATAGTGGGGTCCTGGGTCCTCTCTGAGCGTGGTGGTTTTCTTGCAGACGTTTCATGACCCAACTAGAGAACATCATCAGTGCTAGAAGGGGGGAGGAGGAGGAGGAGGAGGAGGAGAAGAAGAAGAGAGAAGAAGAAGAAGAAGAAGAAGAAGAAGAAGAAGAAGAAGAAGAAGAAGAAGAAGAAGAAGAAGAAGAAGAAGAAGAAGAAGAAGAAGAAGAAGAAGACGAAGAAGAAGAAGAAGAAGAAGAAGAAGAAGAAGAAGAAGAAGAAGAAGAAGGACTGTGGGGTCCTTGGTGTTCTCTGAGCTTGGTTGTTTTCATGCAGACATTTCATGACCCAACTAGCTAACATCATCAGTGCTAGGAGGAGGAGGAGGAGGAGGAGGAGGAGGAGATGGAGACATCCTTGATGATCTCTGAGCTGGGTTGATTTCTTGCATACATTACATTACCCAACTAGGTAACAGCATCAGGGCTAGAAGGAAATAAGGTTTGCGGGAGGAGGAGGAGGAGGAGGAGGAGGAGGGGGAGGGGGAGGGGGAGGAGGAGGCGGCATCTTAGGTGCTCTCTGAGCTGGGCTGTTCTCTTGCAGACATTTCATTCCCAAACTAGTAGCATCACCAGCGCTGAAATGGAGGCGGGAATTCGTCAAATTCACACCAGGGGCAGAAATAACATAGTTGAACGAAGATTCAGCATGTATAAAAAAACCAAAACCCAGATCCTAAAATAGTTCTCTTTTTCACTTTATTTTGCTGGCTCTGGAAGGCAGAAGTAAGAAAACACCAAACAGAAACTCCTAATCTTTACATCTGCATTTAAAACAAAACAAAAATAAACATTGGATTGTCCCTGATCTTGTATAACCTGCATGCTTTTCTTCCTCAAATTTTTGAATCTCGAGGAAATGTCTCTGAAGGGTTTTTTTTTTTTCTCTCGGCCCAGGCTAAGCCTGCAAACGCTCTCCGGCCTAGCAGACTCCCGGCCTCAAAGACAGGCAAGCTAAAACGAGACTCGGCTCCCTCCGAGGTCCGCCTCTTGGCTTCTCGCATCCAGAAATATTTGAAATAAATAGCCCCCGTCTTACCTCGGCTCAAAAAGCCCCCTGAGATTCTCAACGAATTTTTCTCCTGTGTAGCCACACCTAATCTTCCTCTTTTTCCACGTAGGTTTTGCTACCCATGCGGGCCATTTGCCGGGCGAGGTAGCGGTCCCGGGCGGACGAGACGGTCTCCTGGTCACTGCGCTTAGCAAATTTGTTGACTTTCTCGGCCGGCTTCTCCAGGGTCTCTCCGCTGTCGGCCGAAGCCTCGTGCGTCAACTGAGGAGATTTCTCCGGGCTCGGAAGGTTTCCCCCTGGAGTTTGGGGCTCCTCTTGGGGGACGGACCCCAAGCTGCGTTTCCAGCCGTGTTTTGGCTTCTCGTCTCTGTCTTCCCTGCTGGCTGCATCCCTTCCCCGTCCTTTTTCCCTCTCTTCATCTTGGTCTTTCTCTCTGGACCGATGTTCCTTCTTTTCTCTTCCTCGCCTGTGCTCCTGCTTCTCCTCCTCTTCCTCCCGATCCTTCTTCCTGTGCCGGTCCTCTCGTCTCCGATGATGGCCCTCGGTCCTGCTTCGCTCGTCCTTTCCGTGTCTTCTCGGGTGATTCTTTCCATCATGCTGGCGAGCCTCGTCCCTTCTGCGGTCTCGCTTCTCTGCCTGAGGGGAGTGCGGGCGTCTTTCCTCGCTGGGTGACCTCGAATCCCTCTCGCTTTGCCGAGGCATCAAATGGCGACCACGAAGGTACCCATCGCCTGCCTCGGCAGCCTTCTGCTCGCCACTTCTCTCCGGGACTCCCTCACTGTCACTGCTGTCAGTTCGCAAGTCACTGTCTGCATCCAGGTTCTCCTCTCCCTTCCCAGGAACGCGAGTTCTCGTTTTGCTTTCCAGACCTTGATGGGAGCCTGTTGGTTTCTCAGTGAGGTCTTCTCCTTTGAACCTAAATGTTGTTTGGAGACAAAAATAATTTGTATGTGTTAATTCTCTATAAATACAGATTGTCCAGGAAAGTACAGATATCCCTTTATAGGCCTCACGTTTTTTTAACCACAGCTGGGATACAGATGGTCCTCAACTGATGGCCACAATTGAGCCCGAAATTTAGTCACTTAATGACTACCCCAAAAGAGGTTGTAAAATGGATCGGAAACATGAGTAACCCAATTTACGAGTGTCATGACTTATGACAGCGGTTCTCAAACTGTGGGTCGGGACCCCATTTGGGGTCGAACGACCATTTCACGGGGGTCGCCAAACAACGCAGTCCGCCATTTTTCCCCCCCCTTTTCCTTAGCTGTGCTACTCCCTTTTATTCTATTGGCTTTTGAAAGCCAATAGAATAGACTCTCTTGAATAGAGTCTAATTCTATTGGCTTGCAAAAGCCAATAGGAATTGTCCAGGCTGTCTCTGCCCTGCTGAGCCCGCCAAAAGTCCCATTCTGCAAATGGTGCTGCACCAGTTGAGTAGTCCTTGACTTACGACCGGTTGGGGGTCGCGGCATTAAAAAGGTTGAGAATCACTGACATGAGCATGACGGGGAGACGCCATTTTGAGTGTAATGCGAGAATTTATGTAATGATAATTGATCATGGTAATGTAATGTTCCCTGGGTAACGTTCCAAAATTCGATGCCACGACAGAGAAGGGGAGGTTACTGAACCCCAATTCTTGGCTAAGAGGCTTTATGCCATTCTACACTTTTCTCAAGTGCAACCAACGCCTCCTTCCTTGGGAGTTCAGCTTTTCCTTGTCCATGCAGGGGAAAAAAAATGTGAGATAACCTCACTGCCTTCTAGCACTGATGAGGTTACCTAGTTGGGCCGTGAAATGTCTACAAGGAAATGACCAAACTCAGAGAGCACCAAGGACCTCACAGTCCTCCTCCACCACCCTTTTAGCACTGATAAAGTTATCTAGTTGGGTCATAAAAGGTTTGGAAGAAAACAACCAAACTCAGAGACACCAAGGACCCCACCTCCTCCTCCTCCTCCATCCTAGCACTGATGTTGTTACCTAGTTGGTTCATGAAACATCTGCAAGAAAACTACCAAGCTCAGAGAGCACCTAGAACCCCACAGTTCTCCTTCTCTTCCTTCCTTCCTTCCTTCCTTCCCTTCCTTTCCTCCCTCCCTCCTTTTCCTTCCTCCCTTCCTTTTACTATTCCTCCTCCTCTTCCTCATCCCTTCTATGACTGATGAGGTTACCAAGCTGGGTCATGAAACGTCTGCAAGAAAACCACACAGCTCAGAGACCACCAAGGACCCCACAGTCTTTCTCCTCCTCCTCCTCTTCCTCCTCCTCCTCCTCCCTTCTAGCCCTGATGATGTTCCCTAGTTGGGTCATGATACGTCTGCAAGAAAACCACCCAGCTCAGAGAGGACCAAGGACCCCACAGTTCTCCTCATCTTCCTTCCTTCCTTCCTTCCTTCCTTCCTTCCTTCCTTCCTTCCTTCCTTCCTTCCTTCCTTCCTTCCTTCCTTCCTTCCTTCCTTCCTTCCCTTCCCTTCCCTTCCCTTCCCTCCCTTCCTTTTACTATTCCTCCTCTTCTTCCTCCTCCTCCACATCCCTTCTATGACTGATGAGGTTACCAAGCTGGGTCATGAAACGTCTGCAAGAAAACCACACAGCTCAGAGACCACCAAGGACACCCCCCCCCCCAAAAAAAAATGCTGCCTTAACTTAGTTGTCCATCTTCCCCAAAGTTCATTTCGGCTGCCTTTGCCAGTGGAGACACCCTCTGGATCCCTAAAGCCCTCGCGGCCGAGGGAGCGCTAGAATTCCCAACCTCACCCGGCCCGACCTTACCCGGCCCCCCGAAGGCTGCAGTGGGGCGCCTTCTCTTCCCCCACGGTTTGGTTCAGCAGGTGCCGGTAGAAGCCGCTCAGGTCCTTCTGTTTGGTGACGTCCAAGGAGGCTGAGTAAAATGAGAGGTTACTTTTACGTTAGGCTTACTTGTGCACCTTAACAGAGGCATACTACAGGGAGGGACCCATCAACCAAGAAGGAAGATGGGAGGGAAAGAAGGAGAAGGATACGAGAGAAAGAGAGACAGAGAGAAAGAGAAAGAAAGAAAAAGAAAGAAGAGGAGGAGGAGGAGGAGGAAAGAAAAAGGAAGAGAAGGATAAGGGAAAGAGAGAGGAAGAGGAAGAGGAAGAAGAAGAAGGAAGAGGCCTTTTCAAATGGCCTCAAGGACTCTCAAAGGATGCAAATGACCGGCTGTCTGCAAGGAGGATAAATCCTTCCATTCCCCTTGAAGACGTTTCTCTTTTCATCCAAGAAGCATTTATTTATTTATTTATGAGACTTATATACCGCTTTAAGCGCAAGCACTCTCTAAGCGGTGTACACCAGTAAGCAATGTATATATATATATATATTTACATTGCCCCCAACAATCTGGGTCCTCATTTTACCTACCCCGGAAGGATGGAAGGCTGAGTCAACCTTGAGCCGGTGAGATTCGAACCGCTGACCTGCTGAACACAGTCAGCTAAAGTGGCCTGCAGTACTGCACTCTAACTGCTGTGCCACTGGATGGTATGGAATGGAAGGATTTATACTCCTTGCAGACAGCTGGTCATTTGCACCCTTTTAGAGAGTCGTTGAGGCCACCTGGAGGTTTTACCTGTGTCCTCAGGGTCCCCTGAGTGGTGCAAATGGGTGTGGAGTTCCTTTCAGCAGTTCCAAGAAGGCTCCCCACCCATTTGCACCACTCAGGTGACCCTGAGGACACAGACAAACCTCCAAGTGGCCTCAAACAACTCTCTAGAAGGATGCAAATGACTGGCTCTCTGCAAGGGGTCTAAATCCTTCCATTCCCCTTGAAGACGTTTCTCTTCTCATCCAAGAAGCATCTTCGACTATGATTGGATGGTATGGAATGGAAGGATTTATACTCCTTGCAGACAGCTGGTCATTTGCACCCTTTTAGAGAGTCGTTGAGGCCACCTGGAGGTTTTACCTGTGTCCTCAGGGTCCCCTGAGTGGTGCAAATGGGTGTGGAGTTCCTTTCAGCAGTTCCAAGAAGGCTCCCCACCCATTTGCACCACTCAGGTGACCCTGAGGACACAGACAAACCTCCAAGTGGCCTCAAACAACTCTCTAGAAGGATGCAAATGACTGGCTCTCTGCAAGGGGTCTAAATCCTTCCATTCCCCTTGAAGACGTTTCTCTTCTCATCCAAGAAGCATCTTCGACTATGATTGGATGGTATGGAATGGAAGGATTTATACTCCTTGCAGACAGCTGGTCATTTGCCTCCTTTTAGAGCAATGGTTCTCAACCTTTTTAATGCCGCGACCCCCAACCGGTCGTAAGTCGAGGACTACTCAACTGGTGCAGCACCGTTTGCAGACTGGGGCTTTTGGCGGGCTCAGCAGGGCAGAGACAGCCTGGACAATTCCTATTGGCTCTTGAAAGCCAATAGAATTAGACTCTATTCAAGAGAGTCTATTCTATTGGCTTTCAAAAGCCAATAGAATAAAAGGGAGCAGCACAGGAAAAGGGGGGGGGGGAAAAATGGTGGACTGCGTTGTTTGGCGACCCCCGTGAAATGGTCGTTCAACCCCAAATGGGGTCCCGACCCACAGGTGGAGAACCACTGTTTTAGAGAGTCGTTGAGACCACTTGGAGGTTTACCTGTGTCCTCGGGGTCCCCTGAGTGGTGCAAATGGGTGTGGAGTTCCTTTCAGCAGTTCCAAGAAGGCTCCACACCCATTTGGGTATAAATTTACCTCCCTCAGTGCAGGCACGCAACTTGGATGTCCTCCTGGACTCACAGCTAAATTTGGAACAACATCTATCGGCTGTAGCCAGGGGGACCTTTGCCCAGGTTCGCCTGGTGCACCAGTTGCAGCCTTATTTGGACCGGGAGGCTCTACTCACGGTTACTCATGCCCTTGTCACCTCAAGACTGGACTACTGTAATGCGCCCTACATGGGGCTACCCTTGAAGAGCCTTCGGAGGCTGCAGTTGGTTCAGAATGCAGCCGCGAGAGCGATTGTGGGTGCACCAAGGTACACCCACATTTCACCTATCTTCCACGAGCTGCACTGGCTTCCTGTGGGTCTCCGGATACAATTCAAGGTGTTGGTTGTCACCTTTAAAGCCCTTCATGGCTTAGGACCAGGTTACTTACAGGACCGCATACTGCTGCATAGTTCCCAGAGACCGGTGAGGTCCCACAGATTGGGCCTCCTTCAGGTCCCGTCGGCCAGACAATGTCAGCTGGCGGGCCCTCGGGGAAGGGCCTTTTCTGTGGTGGCTCCGACGTGGTGGAATCAACTTCCCCCCTGAGATTCGAACTACTCCCACCTTGCCGGCCTTCAAGAAAGCTATTAAAACTCTCCTGTTCCGGCAGGCCTGGGGTTGATGTCCCCGGGGGGGGGGGTGGGATACGATTGGGACTCATGAGTGAGTGAATGTACTTATTTTTATTGTTATATTTATTGTTTTAATTTTGTACGCCGCCCTGAGTCCCTAGGGATTGGGCGTCATATAAATTTTATTGATAAATAAATAAATCTGCACCACTCAGGTGACCCTGAGGACACAGACAAACCTCCAGGTGGCCTCAATGACTCTCTAGAAGGATGCAAATGACCGGCTGTCTGCAAGGAGGATAAATCCTTCCCCACCATCCAGGCAGAGCTGAAGAAGCTTCTGGGATGGGAAGCAAAAGGCCTTCAAAGGAAAAACTCAAAAGGCCTTCAAAGGAAAAACTAGGTTGCCTCCTGAAAAAGCCCCTTTGGGTCCTCCCTGATGATCCCTGAGGATCCCCCCAGCCAAGAAACCTCCCCGATGCAGAGCCTCCCTCCACGCACCTTCCACTGCCGCCTCCCTTCTCTCCCGCTCCTCCTCCTCGGCTCTTTCCTGCAGCTTCTTCTTGTAGGCCGAGGTGACGAAGGCCTCCTTGTCTTGGAAGGCGTCTCCTTCCGACTCCCGCTCCTTCTGGATCTTCTTCTCCATCCGCCGCTCCTGCTCCTTCTTCCGCAGCTCGGCCGCCTGCAGGATGTTCTGGATGTATTTGGGCTGCCGGGAGGAGACAGGAAGGCGCGGGGTTGCTGAGGTTGGCTTATTTATAGCCCGCTTTCGTTATTTTTAACGAGTAAACGAAGGAGGTGTGCACATAACGCAACCGAAACTCTTCCTCCTGTTTTCCCCACAACAACGACCCGGTGAGGTGGGTTAGGCCGAGAGACAGGGATTGGCCCAAGGTCACCTTTTCTGCCTAAGGCGGGACTAGAACTCTTCATCTCCTGGTGATTGGCCCAAAGACTCCCAGGTGGCTTTTCTGCCTAAGGCGGGACTAGAACTTCCCGTCTCCTGGTGATTGGCCCAAAGTCCCCCAGCTGGCTTTTCTGCCTAAGGCGGGACTAGAACTCACCGTCCCCTGATGATTGGCCCAAAGTCCCCCAGCTGGCTTTTCTGCCTAAGGCGGGACTAGAACTTCCCGTCTCCTGGTGATTGGCCCAAAGACACCCACCTGGCTTTTCTGCCTAGGGCTGGCTGAGGAATTCTGGGAGTTGAAGTCCACAAGTCTTAAAGTGGCCAAATTTGAAGACCCCTGGTTTTGCTGAAAATCTCAAGTGGCCGTTTTTGGCAGAAGCGTCATAAAATGCGGCCAGGTGACCCCAGGACAACTGCAAACAGCGTTAAATGTGGTCCTATTTCTAAACGTCCAAAGACCGGTCATAGGACCGAGGAGTGGGACTGACTGGATCTGGGTTGTAAGTTCCCTTTTTCAGGTAGGTCATAACTTTGAACCATCACTAACTGGCCGGTCGTAAGTCAAGGACTATCCTGTAAGATCTGGTTCTGCATTTGCGGATGGCAATTCGGCAAAACGTCAAAGATTTCCTGATAGTCCAGAATATATATTGGAATAGAATAGAATATAGAATATAGAATATAGAATAGAATAGGAAATGGAATAGAATAGAATAGAATAGAATAGAATAGAATAGAATAGAATAGAATAGAATAGAATAGGAAATAGAATAGGAAATAGAATAGAATAGAATATGAATATGAATATGAATAGAATAGAATATAGAATAGAATAGAACATAGAATAGAATAGAATAGAATATAGAGTAGAATAGGAAATGGAATAGAATATAGAATAGAATAGAATAGAATAGAATAGAATAGAATAGAATAGAATAGAATAGAATAGGAAATGGAATAGAATAGAACAGAATAGAATATAAAATAGAATAGAATAGAATATAAAATAGAATAGAATAGAATAGGAAATAGAATATAAAATAGAATAGAATATAGAATAGAATAGAATAGAATATGAATAGAATAGAATATAGAATAGAATAGGAAATGGAATAGAATAGAATATAGAATAGAATAGAATAGAATAGAATAGAATAGAATAGAATAGAATAGAATAGAATAGAATAGGAAATGGAATAGAATAGGAAATATAATAGAATTGAAAATAGAATAGAATAGAATACAATAGAATATAGAATATAGAATAGAATAGGAAATGGAATAGAATATAGAATAGAATAGAATATAGAATAGAATAGAATATAGAATAGAATATAGAATAGAATAGAATATAGAATAGAATAGAATAGAATAGAATAGAATAGAATAGAATAGAATAGAATAGAATAGAATAGAATAGAATAGAATAATGACTGGACTGGTCTAGACTAGACTAGACTAGAACAGGAGTAGAGCTGGAAGGGACCTTGGAGGTCTTCTAGTCCAGCCCCCCGCTCAAGCAGGAGAACCTATACCGTCTCAGACAAGCGCCTGTCCAGTCTCTTCTTAAAAAACCTCCAGTGATGGAGCGCCCACGATTTCTGGTGGCCAGCTGTTCCACTGAACCAAACTCACTGCACCCAAAAGGTAGCGACAAAAGTTTTGCGCTCAGTTGCGGGCCGTAAGGGAAGGACTGCCTGAATCCCCTTCCTGCATCCCTCTGCTTGCTCCCCCCTGCCCCAGGTGTCGCTCTCCGCTCCCCAAGCGCTACTGGCACAGAGAGACCCAGGCAGGGGCGTCACACACACACACACACACACACACACACACACACACACGGCCAGAAACGGACCTTTTTTTCCTCTTTGCCCGCCAGGACGCTGGCCTGGCTCTCGGCCGCCTTCTTCTGCTGGATGTCCTCATAGATGTTGTCGTATTCGTAGACGGTGGAGTCCTCGGCCAGGGCCCTCTGGATCTCCAGCTTGGTCTTCGAGGCACAGCAGGAGGGAAGGGGGGGCGGGGGGGGGGCAGAGAAAAAAGTGGGGTCATTTTCATTAGAGAGCCTCCTGAAGAATAGGCGCCAAAGGGCGCGTTGATGGGGAGGTGGCGTATAAAATTGATTATTTATTTATTTATTTATTAAAATGTATAGACCGCCCCACTCCCGCAGGACTCCGGGCGGCTAACCATACAAACACAATATAACTTAACAAAATGAACAATACAATAACAGTCATCCAGGGGTCGGATTTTATAAACCCCAGGTCTGCCGGAAAAGCCAGGTCTTAAGCAGCTTGCGGAAAACCAACAGGGTGGGAGCGGTCCTAATCTCCGGAGGGGTGGGGGGAGCTGGATTAAACAAGGAAACAAAATCAATGGGATCTCAGACGCTGAAAAAGCAGTGTTTTGTAAGGCGAGAGGGGGCGGGCGTACAAACGTAACCGGGTAAATAAAGAAATAGGATCTCAAGATATTGAAAACGCAGCGTTTGATAAGGTGAAATAGGTGGCATATAAATTTATATTAAATAAATAGATAAATAAGATATTGAAAATGCAGCATAAGGTGAAATAGATGGCATATAAATGTAACTGAATCAATAGATGATGATGATGATGATGATGTTGGAAGGGACCTTGGAGGTCTTCTAGCCCAACCCCCTGCTCAAACAGGAGACCCTAGACCAGGGGTCTTCCAACTTGGCCCTTTTATGACTTGTGGACTTCAACTCCCAGAATTCTTCAGCCAGGGAAGCTGGCTGAGGAATTCTGGGAGTTGAAGTCCACAAGTCATAAAAGGGCCAAAGTTGGAAGACTCCTGTCTTAAAGCATTCTAGCTGAGGAATTCTGGGAGTTGAAGTCCACAAGTCATCAAAGGGCCACGTTGGAAGACCCCTGTCTTAAAGCATCCTGGCTGAGGAATTCTGGGAGTTGAAGTCCATAAGTCATCAAAGGGCCATGTTGGAAGACCCCTGCACTAGACCATTTTAGACAAGTGCCTGTCCAGTATTGGAGCACCCACAACTTCTGGTGGCAAGCTGTTCCACTGGTTAATTGTCCTCACTGTCAGGAAGTTTCTCCTTAGTTGTACGTTGGTTCCTCTCTTTGATTTAGTTTCCATCCAGATAAAGAAATAGGATCTCGGATATTGAAAACGCAGCGTTTGATAAGGTGAAATAGGTGGCATATAAATTTATGTTAAATAAATAAATTTAAAAAAATATGATTTCAGATATTGAAAACACAGCATTTTGTAAGGTGAGATAAGCTGCCTATATAAATAATCCAGAAGCTGTGAATGCTCCAAACACTGGAAGTTTTTAAGAAGAGACTGCACAGCCATTTGTCTGAAATGGGATAGGCTTTCCTGCCTGAGCAGGGGGTTGGACTAGATGACCTCCAAGGTCCCTTCCAACTTTATTATTGTTATTAACAAGCTGCCTCCAGACGCTGTGAATGCTCCAAACACTGGAAGTTTTTAAGAAGAGACTGGACAGCCGTTTGTCTGAAATAGGATAGGCTTTCCTGCCTGAGCAGGGGGTTGGACTAGATGACCTCCAAGGTCCCTTCCAACTTTACATAGTAAAGTAATACATAGATAAACATGATCTCAGGCATTGAAAATAACAGTATAAGGCTAGGAGCAATCCCACAAGTCCTTATGAGTTGGGGAGCCCACCATCGGCTCCCCGAATGGCAAATATGCAGGTAGTCCTCCACTTATGACCAGAATTGATCCCAAAATATCTGTCGCTAAGTGAACATTTGTTAAGTGAGTTTTGCCCCACATGACCACTTTTCTTGCCGCAGTTGCTAATTGAATCGCTGCGGCTGAGAAGTTAGTAACCCGGTTATTAAATGCAGAGATTAATTTAACCATCCTGGGCAAAACTCACTTCATAAAAAGTCTCACTCGGGGCTCAACTGGCGGTCGTAAGCCGAGGACAACATGCATTTTTAGCATTTCCCCGTCTTTTTTTTTTTCATGTTGCATTTTGCATCGCAAAATTCATGAAGGCAGCGAAAGAGACTGGCTTGAGAGGGTCACCTGGGCTGGGTGCTAAATTAAGTCTCTGCCTTTTTGCAATGTGTTGTAAACTGTGTGAGGAGATCCATGGCAATCCGCAACTGGCCAAAAAGATTATTTGTCACCCCCCCCAAAAAGGAAAAAAAAACCCATGGGGGGGGGAAACACAGGCTTGTATAAAAAGTAGAGTCATCCGTTAAACAAATAAAGTCATGGAAACTAAAACTGAACATTTTGATGAATTTTTTTTTTTTTTTTTTTTTTTTTTTAGGGAGTTAAGACAGCCAGTTCCAGATCGGGTGCCAAGAAGTACGGATTGTGTAAAAAAAAACCCCAGGACGTAAATCATATGAAATAGTCCGATAATGAATTCACATCTAAGCCTGTCTGTTTACACATTTAGGCTGACTGATAAGTTGTGAAGTCATAAAAACGAGCTGGGATAAAGGGGATTCACGCTCGCATTAATGTTCAACATAGTTCGCGCTTATGCTCAAGATGCTCGACAGCCTGGCACGTATTTATGACGGTCGCCGCCTCCAGCGGTCACGTCGTCACCCTTGGCGGACTTCCCACGAGCAAAGTCAGTGGGGTTACATTGGGTTCAGTTAACGACCCTGTGATTCACTTAACAACTGCGGGGCTTCATTTAACAATTACCACGGGGAAAAAAAAATCTTCCAGCTGGGCACAACTCAGCCATGGACAATCCAGTAACAACTGCGGTTGTTAAATGGAGGACAGCCTGCAATCACCAAGGAGCAGTTATACAGAATAGAATAGAATAGAATAGAATAGAATAGAATAGAATAGAATAGAATAGAATAGAATAGAATGGAATGGAATGGAATGGAATGGAATGGCATGGCATGGCATGGAATGGAACGGAATATAGAAGATAGAATAGAAAATAGAATAGAAAATAGAGTAGAAAATAGAATAGAATAATGAAAGAACGGAATGGAATGGAATAATATTACAATAGAATAGAATAGAATAGAATAGAATAGAATAGAATAGAATAGAATAGAATAGAATAGAATAGAATAGAATAAGCAGGAGAACCTACACTGTCTCAGACAGGTGACTGTCTAGCCCAGTGGTTCTCAACCTGTGGGTCAGGACCCCATTTGGGGTTGAACGACCATTTCACGGGGGTCGCCAAACAACCCAGTCCGCCATTTTTTTTATCCCCTTTTCCTTAGCTGTGCTACTCCCTTTTATTCTATTGGCTGTTGAAAGCCAATAGAATAGACTCTCTTGAATAGAGCCTAATTCTATTGGCTTTCCAAAGCCAATAGGAATTGTCCAGGCTGTCTCTGCCCTGCTGAGTCCGCCAAAAGCCCCAGTCTGCAAACGGTGCTGCACCAGTTGAGTAGTCCTCAACTTACGATCGGTTGAGTAGTCCTCGACTTACGACCGGTTGGGGGTCGCGGCATTAAAAAGGTTGAGAACCACTGGTCTAGCCTCTTCTTAAAAATCTCCAGTGATGGAGCGCCCACGATTTCTGGTGGCAAGCTGTTCCACAGGTTGATTGTCTTCACTGTCAGGAAATTTCTCCTTAGTTCCAGGTTGCTTCTCTCCTTGATTGGTTTCCAACCATTGTTTCTCATCCTGCTCAGGTGCTTTGGTAAACAACCTGACCCCCTCTTCCTTGTGGCAGCCCCCCCAATACCGGAATACCGCTATCATGTCTCCCCTATTTCTTCTTTTCTTTAGACTAGCCAAACCCAAGTCCCGCAGCCGTTCTTCGTATGTTTTCGTCTCCAGACCTTGGATCGTCTTAGCTGCTCTTCTCTGAACTTTTTCCAAACTCTCAACATCTTTTTTGTGATGTGGTGACCAAATTTGGCTGCAGTATTCCAGGTGTGGTCTCACTAGGGTTTTATAAATCGGTACTAATACTTCGCGTGATCTTGATTCTGTGCCTCTGTTTATACAACCCAGGATTGTGTTAGCTTTTTTGGCTGCTGCTGCACACATCTGGCTCACGGTCAAGGGATCGTCCACCAGGACTCCAAGGTCCGTCTCACAGTGGCTGTTTTTCAGCCAGGTCTCACCCAATCAGTACTTGTACCTTTGGTTTTCCTGCCTAAATGTATAACTTTGCTTTTCTCCACATTAAAACTCATTTTGTTGGATAGGGCCCATGGTTCCAGTTTGTCAAGATCTTTTTGAATCCTGAGCTTGTCTTCTGGGGTGTTGGCTACTCCTGTCACTTTAGTGTCATCCTATTGGCACGGAGGGCCTCTGATGCTGGCGCACAAAATACCACGGTCAACTTACTTGTTTCATTGCTTGCTTCTTTAGGGCTTCCCGTTGAAGGCTCTCGCTGATGGAAGACTGTGAGGAAAGAAAATTAAGGTGAGTTAGTAACTCATTATAAGCAGGGGAAATCTGGGTGCAAGGCTCTACTTATAATATATGGAATAGAATAGAATATAAAGTAGATAGAGTAGAGTAGAATAGAATAGAACAGTGGTGGCGAACCTATGGCACAGGTGCCAGAGGCGGCATGCAGAGCTCTCTCTGTGGGCACGCGCGCCCTCGCCCCAGTCCTAGGCCTTCAGCTGGGTTTTATAAAACCTTTTCGCTTTAGGCCTCCGCCGCCATGGGCAAAAAAAAAAAAAAAAAAGGTTCAATCAGTCAATTTCAACCTCGCGGGAAAAAAAAAGATCTTGCAAAGTTGGAATTGATGGATTGAACATTTTAGTCCCACCCAGTCTGCCGTTACCACTGCAGCCACGCCCACCCAATGGACCTCGCCCAGGCAATGGGCCACACCCACTTGGCATTTGACGATGCATAAGTGGGTTTTGGGTTGCAGTTTGAGCACTCGGTCTTTAAAAGGTTCGCCATCACTGGAACAGAAAATATAAAATGGAATAAAATGGAACGGAATAGAATAGAAAATATGGAATGGAATGGAATGGAGTAGAGTAGAGTAGAGTAGAGTAGAGTAGAGTAGAGTAGAGTAGAGTAGAGTAGAGTAGAGTAGAGTAGAGTAGAGTAGAATAGAATAGAAATATATGGAATGGAATGGAATGGAATAGAATAGAATAGAATAGAATAGAATAGAATAGAATAGAATAGAATAGAATAGAATAGAATAGAATAGGAATAGAATAACAGAGTGCCAATGCTGCTGACATCGGATGTTTTGCATTGATAACAGATGGAAATGTAGCCATCTTTTACCTTTTGCTTTTAGTGTTAGATGATGCTGGGGGGGGGGATGTGAGCGAGAGTCTAGCTAGACATAACAACACTAAACCTAGCCTGAGAATCAAGGTTATGGAGCCCAGAGCTGATAAGAAATTGGCGTCTGGAGAGCTGGAGAGGAAGCCCATGGGCTTCAAGCTAATTGGGGAATGTGATTTATGACTGTTCATTGGAGGAGGGAATTGTGTTTTGATACTAGGTGCCCAGGGGCAGTGCCAAAATTATGCTATTCAAAATAAAGATTCTTTAAGGTAAACAATGCCTCAAAGTTCTTTTGCAGAGTTTCATCTGTCAGAACCGTGACACAGAGTTGGACAGGACCTTGGAGGTCATCTAGTCCAACCCCCTGCTTAGGCAGGAAACCCTATACCAGTGGTTCTCAACCTGTGGGTTGGGACCCCATTTGGGGTCGAACGACCATTTCACGGGGATCACCAAACAACGCAGTCAGCCATTTCCCCCCCCCCTTTTCCTTAGCTGTGCTACTCCCTTTTATTCTATTGGCTTTTGAAAGCCAATCGAATAGACTCTCTTGAATAGAGTCTAATTCTATTGGCTTTCAAAAGCCAATAGGAATTGTCCAGGCTGTCTCTGCCCTGCTGAGCCCGCCAAAAGGCCTATTCTGCAAACGGTGCTGCACCAGCGGAGTAGTCCTCGACTTATGACCGGTTGAGTAGTCCTCGACTTACGACTGGTTGGGGGTCGCGGCATTAAAAAGGTTGAGAACCACTGCACTAGACAGCCATTTGTCCGAAATGGTGTAGGGTTTCCTGCCTGAGCAGGGGGTTGGACTAGATGACCTCCAAGGTCCCTTCCAACTTTACTATTACTATTACTATCCAGGGAAACAGCTAGCATTAGTGTTTTTAGATGCCCAAAAGGCGTTTGATAACGTTTCCTGGCAATTTATGGTTCAGCAATGGCAAATAATGGATTTTGGAAAGAATTTTTATAAATATGAGCTCTGCAACTCTACGCGATGGACCAGGAACCAACTCATCCGACATCCCACCCCGTGCTTCGTGCTGACCTTCAGCCAGGGGACGTTGAGATCCCGACGGTGTTCCCTGGCCTTTTCGCTCGGATGCCTTGGGCTGCCTTCCAGGCTGTCTCTGCCCTGCTGAGCCCTCCAAAAGTCCCATTCTGCAAACGGTGCTGCACCCGTTGAGTAGTCCTCGACTTACGACCGGTTGGGGGGTCGCGGCATTAGAAAGGTTGAGAACCACTGCCCTATACCATTTCGGACAAATGGCTGTCCAGTCTCTTCTTGAAAACTTCCACTGCTGGAGCATTCACAACTTCTGGAGGCCGGTTGTTCCATTGGTTAACAGAATAACAGAGTTGGAAGGGGCCTTAGAGGTCATCCAGTCCAACCCCCTGCTCAAGTAAGAGACCCTATGCCATTCCAGAATGACAGAGTAATAGAGCTGGGAGGGGCCTTGAAGGTCATCTAGTCCAACCCCCCTGGTCAGGCAGGAGACCCTAGACCCCTTCAGACAAATGGCTGTCCGGTCTCTTCTTAAAAACCTCCCATGATGGAGCATCCACTGGCTCTAAGGCCGAACAATGGCCGCTGCCTTCTCCATAGCAATCCCACTTTGTCTCCATAGCGGATCTTTCCTGCATGGTCCACCTGCAGGCAGGTGAGTCTCCAAAGTTCCTCCTGGGTTGACTGGGCCCTTTCGCCCACGTGTGGAGAGAGTCTGAGTGAGCAGAATCCTCTTTTTCACCACCTCTCAAGGACTAGGTGAAAAATGGATTCCCCCCCCCCCCCCAACTCCTCCTGGCAGCCGGGGAAGTTTTCCAGTCCTGCTGTGACTCATCTTGAAGGCCAGGACATCATACCAACCCCAGGAAGATGGTGTCACCACCGTAACGTTAGCAGCTGCTCTTTTTCGGCCCGAGTGTCCAAGTTAAGCACGCTCCGTCAGCCTCTCTGAACACGCTGAGTGATGAGCTCTGCAACTCTTTTTTTTTTTTTAATAAAGATTTTATTGTTGTTGTTTTTTTCATCAACACATGTTAATTTTTCCAATCCACGAATTGTCTGGAATTTATTTTATTTTATTTATTTATTTTCAAAATTTATAAGCCGCCCCACTCCCGAAGGACTCTGGGCGGCTAACAATAAAAAACACATGAAACATAGCAAAACAAACAGTACAAAGACAGTCATCCAGGGGTCAGGTTTTATAAACTCCAGGCCTGCCGGAAAAGCCAGGTCTTAAGCAGCTTACGGAAGACCAACAGGGTGGGAGCGGTCCTAATCTCTGGGGGGAGCTGGTTCCAAGACGTGGGTGCCATCACAGAGAAGGCCCTCCTCCATGGCCCCGCCAAATGGCACTGCTTGGCCAACGGGGCCCGAAGGAGGCCCAGCCTGTGGGATCTAACCGGACGTAGGGAACTACGAGGTAGTAGGTGGTCTCGCAAATAGCCTGGCCCTGAGCCATATAGGGCTTTAAAGGTAATGACCAACACCTTGAATTGGACCCGGAGACCAATAGGCAACCAGTGCAGCTCACGGAGGATAGGTGTAACGTGGGTGTAGCGAGGAGCACCCACTATCACTCGCGCGGCTGCATTCTGGACCAACTGTAATCTCCGAATACTTTTCAAGGGTAGCCCCATGTAGAGCGCGTTGCAGTAGTCCAGAAATTTGCATGTCCAATTCCTAATCCTTCATTCTTTCCCCTAGCCAGCAATCAAAGAAGTCCCAAATTTGATAACGGTCTGTATCTTCTTTATCTTTCAACCTCATAGTTCAGGGGTGGCGAACCTATGGCACGCGTGCCAGAGGCGGCACTCGGAGCCTTCTCTGTGGGCACGTGCGCCATGCCCCGGAGATGGCAACCGTCAATCTTCAATCAGCCGCCTACCAACTCGGCGATGTTCCACATGTCCAGATGCATCCCACCACGGCTGGTTTCCTTCCTCCCCCCGTCCCATCCCTCCTGGCCTTGCATGCTCTCCTTTTCACAGGCACGACCCACTCATCGCCTCCTCAGCTGTCCGCTGGCTGTCCAGCTCAGAGGCGGCTTCTTTGAACTGCTTTTGGCGGGCTGTGGAGCCCCAGAGTGTGCCGGTCGAGGGGCTGGCAGGCTGTGGCTGCTGACGGACACTGTCGGCCCCCATGCGCTCGCTGGCCTCTGTGTGCGCAGGCTGATGGTGTCAGGCAGCAGCCACCCCCAGCCCCTGCCCCCCCTTGCCCTGCAACGATGACACCCCCGCCCCAGCCTCGCCTCACCCCACAGGACGAGCTTCCTATCCCACCTGCCAGATCCACCTGGATCTCTCCCAACGCTGCCCGGCCCCCACAGGCGTCCCTCCCCACGAACAACATCAAGGTGACCCCGCCTACCTTGACCACACCCACCCAGTCTGCCATGAGCACCACAGCCACGCCCACCTGGCACCCGGCAGTAAATAAGTGGGTTTTGGGTTGCAGTTTGGGCACTCGGTCTCTAAAAGGTTCGCCGTCACTGTCCTAGTTCATCTGTCCCTCTCTGCACATATTTTCCGGATTATTTCTTCTTCCGATTACAAAACGTTTACCTCCCTCATGGCAGAGAGATTGAAAAAAACACTAAGTTGAATTTATACCTCCAGATTAAAACGGCTTTTTACCGAAGAGACAAATTAAAAATAATTGAAGGGTGATAGTGGATGTATTAGAATATTATGAACAACATATCTCAGGGGTTGCCATAAAGAAGAGGGAATTAAGCTATTCTCCAAAGCACCTGAAGGCAGGACAAGAAGCAACGGGTGGAAACTCACCAAGGAGAGAAGCAACCTAGAACTAAGGAGAAACTTCCTGACAGTGAGAACAATTAACCAGTGGAACAGCCTGCCTCCAGAAGCGGTGAATGCTCCAACGCTGGAAGTTTTTAAGAAGAGACTGGACAGCCATTTGTCCGAAATGGTGTAGAGTTTCCTGCCTGAGCAGGGGGTTGGACTAGATGACCACCAAGGTCCCTTCCAACTTTATTATTATTATTAGATCCAGAGTTTAAAGTAACAAACTCCTGGCTTGACAAATGTTTTATTTAGCAACATAAATGATGGGGTTGGACTAGATGACCTCCAAGGTCCCTAACAACTTTACTACTATTACTATCCAG